TCGGGGGAGGGCGGGCAAGAGGCTAGCTTGTCCAGGTACTCTTGGTTCGCCTTTTTGTGTGAGCTTTTCAAATGGACTTTTAGATTCGTGGGGGTTTTTCCCCTTGAGCAGTATTCCACATATTGTATCACCTGCTTCTACAACAAGGCACTTACTTTTATTTTTGACACTGTCATAATCAAAGAAATCCCAAATAGGACTCTGCCGCTTTCTTCCGACTTTCGCTGCAGCCATCACGCTAGCCGGCGGCATCGCGGACAGACTATGGACACGTGACATCACAGACTATGTGGTGCCATACGGGTCAAACACCTGACTTAAAACTGGCAGCGTGAAGTAAATAGATTTTAATTCAATCCAAAAGGCTTATTACAAAGATGAAAACGAAGGACGTTTTTGCTATAATATTAGTTCTTTAAGTTCCCAGGCAGGATCTGAACCCAAAACTCTAGAACCCCTGGGTCGGTGGTAGTGCTGATTACTGAGCCCCAGCGCTACTCAGAGCTTCATAAAAATACTTATAGAAATATTACAGAGTCTCAGGGTAACTCACCCTGTAAGGTCATTAAACAGCAGTTTGGTCTCAGTTGGAGAGTCTCAAGAAAAAACTATTTGTTTCTGACTAGGACAGAGAAACAACAAAATATCTGATATATTTAAATATCCCAGTTAATGAATGGATTTTAGAGCATGTTCACTAACATACTCTTATTCAAACTGACTCTGTAAGACAATACAGAACAGGATTCGGGAATGTATGACTTATGAAAATGTACAGTAAATAGTGAAAATACACTGTAAACTCACAGGAGAAGCTGTATTGTACCAAAATCTATATGATATAGAGTATATGCATCATCACTTATTTTATTTTAAAATAATGTTTATTTTGATATTTTATTTGATATACCTGTGTGTGGTGTATGTATTTATGTCTTAACACATTTCCTTTTGTTGCCTGAACAGCTGTAATCTCACAGAGACATGCTGTGAAGTGTTGGCTTCAGCTCTCAGATCAAACACTTCTCAGCTGACAGAGCTGGACCTGAGTGACAATGACCTGCAGGATTCAGGAGTGAAGCTGCTCTCTGCTGCACTGGGAGATTCACACTGTAAAGTGCACAGGTGCACTGGTGGAAGGCTGTTTTTCCCTGGCTTCAGCTCTGAGGTCAAACCCCTCACACCTCATGAGAGAGCTGGACCTGAGCTACAATCACCCAGGAGACTCAGGAGTGAAGCTGCTTTCTGTTCTACTGGAGGATCCCAAATGTAAACTAGAGAAAATAAAATGAGTATAGAATTTGTGTCTGCACCTGCAGTGTATGTGGAGAAAATACAACAATTAAATAAATGGATACAGCTGTACTATGTCATTCTGCTTCTGCTATAGTGTGGACCACAGTGGAGAGCGCAGACCAGGACCAGGCTTACAGAAATGTAAGTTTGTTAGCATGTTTTTATTTTTAATATCATCAATATTACTTCATGATAGCATTCACACAGTTACTGTGATGTGTGCTTTATTTCTTTATTTAAAAATGCTAGTTTAGGTTGAAAGATGACTACTTTCTTCAATAAAAACAATAGTCTGGGAACTTCTGTAGAAATACATTATGTATTCACAGGCTGGGGGGTCAGGCCACCACATCCTTCGTATCTGACCATCACTCATCTTGCCTACTATTCGCGCATCACACTCCCTTCTCTCTTTAATGTAGTTGATGCAGACTTATTCATAAATTAGTTGCGGCAAAAATGCTGATTACCGATG